ATAATTCGCTCTATGAAACATAGAGACATAGTTGACTAAACCACCAGGTGTCGAACATTCAAGAATTTTCAGGGTTTCTGTTTTATTTGATGAAAAGGTTGCCTGAGCTCTAGGAGCTTTAGGTTTTATCACGGGATATTCTGTGCTGTCAATAATAATCCAAGTCGTAGGAAACTTTAATTTGAAGTTGGATGGTGAAAAATACCTGACTAAACCACTAGATGGCCAAGTGTTAGCCTCACACCACTGTTTAGACATAAAAACAATCCATGTATACACAATATTCTTAACACTAGATTCAATCTAGAATCTAGACAGTTCAAAGTTGGTTGTATGATGCCTCAATTTCATCAAAGTCATAAAAAAACTGATTTTCAACTGACACCCTATCAATTTGAAAATATATGTATCTCAAACAATGTGCTGCTGGACCAAGTGTGGTCAAAACAAATAAAAATATAGTATACAACTCTAAACCGGTATAAAAATGCATGGCTGTGTCACGTGTCTTCATTTCAAAATTCTCTGCTGAAAACATAGGCATTGATGGTGTTTGCGTAATTCCATCTGTGAAGCTCAACATTAGCTCGGCAGTTGGTGGTGGACAGTAATAAATCCTTTCTGCAGTATGAATGACTTCTTCAGGAAAACCAACTTTACAATCAAAACTTTCCTCTAGATTTCTACTACAATATTCATCAAGTTTAGTTCTTTTGTTTTCACAGGAAACTGCCCTGATTTTTCTTTTTGCGGACTATTCAGTCTCTTGCTTGGTCCAGGAAAATAGGCTGGGAATTGCAGTAGACTTAAGTCTCTGTATGGTGGGTTTGCGCCCTGAAAAAGGTTATAAAACATTAGTTTTTTTATAATTAAATGAACTTCCATTAGCAATGTATACTTTGTACTACCTGGCGAAATATTAACTAGATTTATTCATTACAATCTGGATAAAACTATGTTTGCCTGATTCAATGTATGTTATGTAAATCCAAAGGACAAACAATGAGAGACTTATGCAACAAACGTACATTGTTTGTACCTAAATAACTATAATATAGATGAGAGCATGTCATTGTTTTGTTCCTGTTAACATTGTCATTGATATTTTTCAAGAAAGTCTATGAGGCATAGCTTATGCATTCCTGTCATTACTACAATAGCATAATTACTGCTAAAATAATTCTCAGTATGATATACCTCTTGTAAGAAATCATTATAATTGTAGCAATCACCAAAAAATCTCAAACAGATCACATTGAATCGTAATCCAAAAAATTATGACGTCTTGAATTACCCACCCCCTTTTATTCTAAAACGATAATTGCGGTTGTAAACAGACTTTGGTTTATTCGCATGGCGATTACATATATAACTATATATTTCACAAAGAAAATAGAGTTTTACCATGAATAGTTTCCTGCACGTAGTCTTTTTCAGTAAAACGTGCCTTGCAAACAACAGCTGATTGAGATGGACTCCACGATATCATCGTGTTCTCGTCCAATCTGCGTATGGGCCATGGCGTTGATCCAACTTTTCCTTCTTTTTAAGTCATTTGGAAATGCATGTCCTCCTCTTAAATGACATCCAGGTACACAACAACAAGCACTTGGCGTCGTTAATTAAAAATATAACTGAAATAGTTGCACAGTGCAGAAACCGGAAGAAGAGGAACAGGATCCGCTACCACGGCGCCACCTATTCAGGAACGATAATTTGCTACTTTATATAACTGCGAAAATAACGTTAGACGGGTTCACGTGCATAAACAGAAATGCGCTTTAAATTGTATAATATAATTCATGTTCAGTCGACCTTTAATTATTATATCAACGACTGAAATGATTTATAAACATCTAGATTGCAGATAACACTCGAAATTAACCCGAGCTCTTTCCACACGGAATTCAAATAATTCTAGTTTGTCAATCGGTTGACTGCTTATAATGCAAAATACTAATATATCAAAAGTTTTTAAAACTAACAAAACACAATGATCGTTTCTCTATTTCCCAATGTAAATGAAATGAAACAAAAAACATTTTATATCGCAATAAGAAGAGGAGATAATTCAACATTTCCGGATCTACTTGGAGTCTAATGACCCCCCACGTAGATAAGTTGGATATCGCGGAAGGAAGGATTAACCCGGCAACTAGAAAGGCATTAAAGCACTGCCTTTAAAAATCTAAATACATGTTTAGATTCAGCATATCAAAGAACACTAAAAATTCAATTTTTGTTAAAATCAAACTAAGTTTAAATTTGGACCCTTTGGACCTTAATGTAGACCAATTTGAAAACGGAACCAAAAATTAAGAATCTAAATACACGGTTAAATTCGGCATATCAAAGAACCCCAATAATTCAATTTTTGATGAAATCAAACAAAGTTAAATTTTGGACCCTTTGGACCTCAATGTGGACCAATTTAAAAACGGGGCCCAAAATCCAAAAACTTAATACACGGTTATATTCAGCATATTAAAGAACCCCAAGAATTCAAGAATAAAACCCCATTGAAATTGATCAAGAAATAAGCAATTTATAAGAAGTATCTTCTTTTGCACAATACTGTGCAATTGAATATTTCTTGCTATTGCGCAATACTGTACAATTGACAATTTCTTGCTATTGCGCAATATTGTGCTATTGGATATTTCTTGCTATTGCGCAATACTGTGCAATTGAAGATTTCTTGCTATTGCGCAATACTGTGCAATTGAAGATTTCTTGCTATTGTGCAATACTGTGCAATTGAAAATTTCTTGCTATTGCACAATACTTATTATATAAAAATTTACACATCCTGTTTGGTGTGTATCTCCTACCATATCATTATTATTTGCTTTTAAATATAAATCAGAAATAACCAACTTAAAATGGAAAATTTTAAAAGAAAACCTTTGTGGTATGGAAACTTGCAGTACAATTTCAGAGAGATCCATACACTTGAACACAAGTTATTGTCTTGAAACTAGAAAAATGCTTATTTTTTGGCCCCTTTTTGGCCCCAAATTCCTAAACGTTTCAGGCAATTACCCCCCAACTCAATTCCAGCTTTCCCTTTGTGATATGAAACCTTGTAGTACAATTTCAGAAATATCCAAAAACTTACACACAAGTTATTGTCATGAAACTAGAAAAATGCTTATTTTTTGCCCCTTTCTTGGCCCCTAATTCCTAAAATTTTGAGGCAATTACCCCCGAACTCAATTCCAGCTTTCCCTTTGTGATATGAAACCTTGTAGTACAATTTCAGAAATATCCAAACACTTACACACAAGTTATTGTCATGAAACTAGAAAAATGCTTGTTTTTTGCCTCTTTTTTTGCCCCTAATTCCTAAAATTTTGAGGCAATTACCCCCAAAATCAATTACAGCCTTCCCTTTGTGATATGGAACCTTGTGGTACAATGTCAGAGAGATCCATACACTTACACACAAGTTATTGTCTGAAAGTTACAAAAATGCTTATTTTTGGCCCCTTTTTGGCCCCCTTATTCCTTAACTGTTGGTACCATAACCCCCAAAATCAATCCCAACCTTCTTTCCATGGTATTGAACCTTATGGTAAAATTTCATGGAGATCCATTCACTTAAACTAAAGGTAGAGTGCGAAAACCAATGTGTCGCCGGACAACACCAGACGACGACGACGCCAAAGTCATACCAATATACGACCAAAAAATTTTTAATTTTTGCGGTCGTATAAAAATAAATTGACAGCTAATCACCTCAAGACAATACAAAATTTCTTTATACATAATTTTAAAGCAGTGTAAGGGAGGTAATCCAAATTTAACATTGTACTTAAAAATGATTGTCCATTAACAAGGAAACCCTTGTTTTTCCCCCTTTTTTGCCGCTAATTCCTAAACGGTTTGAGCCATTACCCCCGAAAGCCAATTCTAACCATCCCTTTGTGGTATGGAAACTTGTTGTACAAATTTCAGAGAGATCCATACACTGTTCCACAAGTTATTGTCTGAAAACTAGAAAAATGCTTATTTGGGCCCTTTTTTGGCCCCTAATTCCTAAACTGTTAGGATCATAACCCCCAAAATTAATCCCAACCTTCCTTTTGTGGTTATAAACCTTGTGTTTCAATTTCATAGATTTCTATTAACTAATACTAAAGTTATTGTCCGGAAACCAAGTGTCTTCGGACGACGACGACGTGATACCAATATACCACCGCAAATATTTTTTGTGGTCGTATAAAAATTTCCTTTGATGCAATTTCTTGATCTTGAAGATTAGCTTCTGTCCAAGTTTCATAACAACAAAAAATACTGTAAAATGAAAAAAATATTTTCAAAATTTTGCTTTAGACATTATCTCTTAGGGCTGTTCCAGAATTAAAGGCATACAAGGCATTTTTTTAGACCTCAACCACCCATAATACATAATTTTTAGTTTTACTTTGAACTCTTACCAAAAAGAAAATGCAACCACCCATAACTAATTAATTCGGTGCCTCCCAACCCCCAACACAATCAATTTTGGAACAGCCCTTAATCATAAGAAAGCTTCTGCCAAAGTTTCATAGAATTCTATGATGGTTATACAAAGTAATTGATGTGTAAAATAAACTTAACCCCATACTGTGTCTACTTGTAAACTGCCAAAAACTAAGTCCATATATCATAAAAATACAGAAAAATGAAATTCACTATTTTATCAATTTTGCTCTGGATACCGTCTTTGGTCATAAACAAGCTTTTGTACTAATTTCATAAAATTCCAATATGGTCTGACCAAGTTATTGATGTCTAGAAAAACTTTAACCACAGATTAAACCTAAATGTTGATAACCCCAACATCTGAATCTAGGATCCCTATGTCTCCCTTCTGCGACATAAATGTTGCAGGCTCAACAAAAACAGTTGGCTGACAGAAAAAACAAGATTAACCAATGGATAAAGAAAAAATGAAGGAACAGGCAAAAACATTGACAATATTCTCCCTACTTAAGTGAGAGAGGTTAACTACTAACCTCGTCAAACACTCCACCAAAACAGACAGCTTTGTTACCAGGGATTACTACCATAGGCATACCACAACGAGGACTAGGTTTATTTCCAGACTGTTTCCCTTGTACCCATCTCCATTTCAAAGGGGCACTATCATCCTTCTTCTTGGCTAAAAGTAATAAAAAAATTGGTTCAAAAACTCATATGAACAGACAATAAGACAATGTCTTATATTAGGAAAAACTTAACATACTTTATTGGTATTATTACTTCATTCACATTCTGGAGTCATATAAATACTTCTTGTATCTATAAAACTAAATGAGAATTTTTAGCACTGACCATTTACATGTAAGAGTTGCATAGGGTTCTTATATTCAATAATGATATTGTATCATACCAACAGTACCGTAATAAAATTTGAGTTAGTTTCCTGTGAAATGAAGCATGTTTTGACCTTGATTTCTTAATTGAATCTCCTTCCTTTCTATGTGTCCAAGTGTGTGTGCATTCTGCTTTAATCTTTCCTGATTGTTTGACAAATATTGACCAATGGATGCATTACATTTGTATCATTTTGGTTGCTGTCTCATTTATATATAACCCATATCTCCTTTAAAATTTTTAGTCTTTTAAAGCTGAACAAGCATAAGGTGCTTTACAGTGAGTATAGGATTCTCCACCCTATCTCTAAATTTTCACCAGATTGACTTAGTAACAAAAATATAAATCTGTCAGAACAATTACCTCTATCTTGTAGGAAAATTAAGCAAAATAAATGGGAAATTCATAAATTCAGTTAAGTTTTTGTATAAAAGAATTACAGAGAATGTACAAACCATCACAGGCACACAATATAAACATATCAGTATGTATTGTTCCTTTATCAACATCTTTCTTTATTCTCTCTTTGCTGTAGCCTCCATACACCACTGCTTTAGGGATATCTTGGAACACCCCCATCATAAATCCTGACCGTGGGGCTGGTGGATTACCTGTTATCTCAAGCTTATCCCATGAGTATGTTTCAAAATTAAATGCAAATGCATCATTAAAATATTTGTAATCCCTGTAAACAGAAATGAGAAATTCATAAAATAAAAATTATTCGATTTTTAAATATCAATCGTGGCATTTTAACTATGCTTAAATTTGTATAAAATTTTTGAATGATTCAGATTTAAAAAAATTCTTATGTTTATGTACTCTTTAAATGAGATCTATTAAAATTGTAGATACATTTTGAGAGATTTTTGTTTGCCTTATGTTCAGTGACAAATAATTTATATTCACAATGAGAACAAACTAACAATTTATACAAATAAAGGTTCTGCAGGGTCAATAGGTCAACTGGCATGAATGGCACACAATTTGGATAACCATAGGAAAATGAGAGTATGTTAGATAGGCGCAGAAAATTTTGCCTTGCAACAGGCCATCTAAAGACCTCTCAAGAGAGTTGTTACAAAGATTCTTTAACGTGTAGAGAGCATGTATCTCTCCCTACAAAAGGCATCAGATTTAATGTCCCCATTGCTACCAGACATAGCTGTGTATTTATACATCCTGTACAGCCCAACAGATGCCCATTCTAGCAACAGTTTTACTGTTTGATGGTCCAAGGGGATAACCATTTTTATATACTCAAGACAACCAGTTATATTCATGATTAACAAACCTAATGTTGTCATGGAAACCTCCAAACACAATCAACTGTTTCTTACAAATAACCATTCTGTGACCACTTCTGCTGGATGGTGATCCAGGGACACTGAAACCCAAATAAAATTCTAAAATTAATGTGTATATTTCAAGTTTTATTTATGTTCATGAATATCAAAGGTGTAACTTGTCTAGTACCAGTTACACTTGTCTAGTACCAGTTACAGAGTATTGTCAGAAATTCAGTTTTTCTTGAATACTGTACAACCGGAAATCTGTTTGGAGTTACTAATCATACTTTTAGCACCATCAACTAAGAATTTAACTCTTTTTAAAGTAATAACAAGAGTGCACACGCTGAAATGTCTCGCCTTCTTTACTAATCATTGATATTATGTTGATAGTCCTAAATATAAAGCTTTACTACAACTATCACATACACTTAACATGATCCAAGAAAATAAGGTCAAGGTCATATAAACCAAACAAGAAATACATGTACACCTTACAATCATTCAATACACTAAATATAGTTGACCTATTGTTTATAGTTTCTAAGATACAGATTTAACCAAGAAAACTAAACATTGACCAATGAACCAAGAAAATGAGGTCAAGGTCAGATGAACAATGCCAGGCAGACATGTACTACAGCTTGCAATCCTTCCATACAACAAATATAGTTGTCCTATTGCTTATAGTATTAGAAAAACAGACCAAAACACAAAAACTTAACACTGAGCAATGAACCGAGAAAATGAGGTCAAGGTCAAATAAAACCTGCAAGACTGACAGGTACATCATAAAATATTTCCATACACCAAATATAGATGACCTATTGCATAAAGTATTAGAAAAAAAGATCAAAACTCAAAAACTTAACTTTGACCACTGAACCATGAAAATGAGGTCAAGGTCAGAAGACACCTGCCCGCTAGACATGTACACCTTACAATCATTCCATACACCAAACATAGTAGACCTATGGCATACAGTATAAGAAAAACAGACCAAAACACAAAAACTTAACTATAACCACTGAACCATGAAAATGAGGTCAAGGTCAGATGACACCTGCCAGTTGGACATGTACACCTTACAGTCCTTCCATACACCGAATATACTAGACCTATTGCTTATAGTATCTGAGATATGGACTTGACCACCAAAACTTAACCTTGTTCATTGATCCATGAAATGAGGTCGAGGTCAAGTGAAAACTGTGTGACGGGCATGAGGACCTTGCAAGGTACGCACATACCAAATATAGTTGAACTATTGCATATAGTATTAGAAAAAAAGACCAAAACTCAAAAACTTAACTTTGACCACTGAACCATGAAAATGAGGTCAAAGTCAGATGACACCTGCCCGCTAGACATGTACACCTTACAATCATTCCATACACCAAATATAATAGACCTATGGCATACAGTATAAGAAAAACAGACCAAAACACAAAAACTTAACTATAACCACTGAACCATGAAAATGAGGTCAAGGTCAGATGACACCTGCCAGTTGGACATGTACACCTTACAGTCCTTCCATACACCGAATATACTAGACCTATTGCTTATAGTATCTGAGATATGGACTTGACCACCAAAACTTAACCTTGTTCACTGATCCATGAAATGAGGTCGAGGTCAAGTGAAAACTGTCTGACGGGCATGAGGACCTTGCAAGGTACGCACATACCAAATATAGTTATCCTATTACTTATAATAAGAGAGAATCTAACATTACAAAAAATCTTAACTTTTTTTTCAAGTAGTCACTGAACCATGAAAATGAGGTCAAGGACATTGGACATGTGACTGACAGAAACTTCGTAACATGAGGCATCCATATACAAAGTATGAAGCATCCAGACCTTCCACCTTCTAAAATATAAAGCTTTTAAGAAGTTAGCTAACGCCGCCGCCGCCGTAGCCGCCGCTGGATCACTATCCCTATGTCGAGCTTTCTGCGACAAAAGTCTCTGTTCAGAGGTCGAACCCTGAACAGTTGGGGCAAGTATGGACACAACATTCAAGCTTGATACAGCACTGAATTTGGATTGTGATTAAATATTTGACTCAGCATAGGTTTCTGACACAGAATGAATGTGGTCTAAGAACTTAAAAAATTTTTAATTTACCTATTCAAACCATGTCATTATTATTTGCTTTTATATATAAATCAGAAATAACCAATTTAAAAAAAAGGGAAAAAAAATCCCCCCCCCAATTTTTTGAACCCCCTTATGATTTATCACCCCCAAACTCAATCCCAGCCTTCCCTTTGTGGTATGGTACCTTGCAGTACAATTTAAGAGAGATCCATACACTTGAACACAAGTAATTGTCTGGAAACTAGAAAAATGCTTGTTTTTTGGCCCCTTTTTGGCCTCAAATTCCTAAATGTTTTGGGCAATTACCCCCAAACTCAAACCCAGCTTTCCCTTTGTGATATTGAACCTTGTAGTGCAATTTCAGAAATATCCATACACTTACACACAAGTTATTGTCCGGAAACTAGAAAAATGCTTGTTTTTTGCCCCTTTTTGGCCCCTAATTCCTATAATTTCGAGGCAATTACCCCCAACATCAATTCCAGCTTTCCCTTTGTGATATGGAACCTTGTAGTACAATTTCATAAAGATCCATACACTTACACACAAGTTATTGTCTGGAAACTAGAAAAATGCTTGTTTTTTGCCCCTTTTTTGCCCCTAATTTCTAAAGTTTTGAGGAAATTACCCCCAATATCAATCCCAGCCTTCCCTTTGTGGTATGGTACCATGCAGTACAATTTCAGAGAGATCCATACACTTGAACACAAGTTATTGTCATGAAACTAGAAAAACGCTTGTTTTTTGCCCCTTTTTTGCCCCTAATTTCTAAATTTTGAGGAAATTACCCCCAATATCAATCCCAGCCTTCCCTTTGTGGTATGGTACCATGCAGTACAATTTCAGAGAGATCCATACACTTGAACACAAGTTATTGTCTGGAAACTAGAAAAATGCTTGTTTTTTGCCCCTTTTTTGCCCCTAATTTCTAAAATTTTGAGGAAATTACCCCCAATATCAATCCCAGCCTTCCCTTTGTGGTATGGTACCATGCAGTACAATTTCAGAGAGATCCATACACTTGAACACAAGTTATTCTCTGGAAACTAGAAAAATGCTTATTTTTGGCCCCTTATTCCTAAACGTTTTGGGCAATTACCCCCAAACTCAATTTCAGCTTTCCCTTTGTGATATGGAACCTTGTAGTACAATTTCAGAAAGATCCATACACTAACACTCAAGTAATTGTCATGAAACTAGAAAAATGCTTGTTTTTTGCCCCTTTTTTGGCTCTAATTTCTAAAATTTGGAGGCAATTACCCCCAAAATCAATCCTTTCATTCCCTTTGTGATATGGAACCTTGTGGTACAATGTCAGAGAGATCCATACACTAACACACAAGTTATGTCTGGAAGTTACAAAAATGCTTATTTTTGGCCCCTTTTTGGCCCCTTATTCCTTAACTGTTGGTACCATAACCCCCAAAATCAATCCCAACCTTCCTTTTGTGGTATTGAACCTTATGGTAAAATTTCATAGAGATCCATTCACTTAAACTAAAGTTAGAGTGCGAAAACCAATGTGTCTTCGGACGATGATGACGACGACGACGACGCCAACATCATACCAATATACGACTGCAAAATTATTTTGCGGTCGTATAAAAATTGAGGACGTCATAAAGTGATAACATCATGTGCCGACATACATATCTTCCCAGGACATGCCAAATAACAGAAAACTTGGCATTTCCCAGTCTTATTTGGATCAAACAAAATATAATTTATACATATGAAGTATGTATCTAAAGAAAACAGCAGTATGTCAAATTTTCTATAGCTTTTGTGTTTGCATTAAATGCAAGGAGACAGTAATTGATAACTGATAGTTTGCATAAAAAACATAATAATAACTAGCATACAATGTATCTTAAAAAGTCCAACTTTTTTATAAATTATCTCCCCCTCAAAAATAGTTATGTTTTGCTTTGATTTGTATTAGCAGTATTTTCATGTTTAATTGGAGCATTTTCATTACTGACTCTGTTTTATTGATAACCAAAATACATTAATCATATACATACCGAATTTTTTCCCATCTCTTATCTTTCAAATGAAAGACCCATAATTCTTTGTAATGGTAAAATTGTGATTGTGTTGGACTTGCAAATTCTCCACCAAATATCCAAAGCTGTCCCCCGCCTTGTTTTAAGGTTACAGCCTATATACAAAAAATGATAACATGCATTCATATAAACCTAAGATAATGTATCCTGTATATTTAAACTCATAAGTCCAAAATTAACAGACAATGATACGGCAAAAAAAAAAAACAACCAAAAGACAAACAACCGTAAACAAAACACAACATAGAAAATAAAGACTGAGCAACCCCACCAAAAACTAGGGGTGATCTCAGGTGCTCTGGAAAGGTAAGCAGATCCTGAAATGTGGCTTCCATCCTGTTGTTCATGTAAGTACAAACCTGGTGATAAGTCTAATTAGGTTTTAGCCTTTTTTATTTCATAAGGCATAGCATTTTTTTCATTTATAGGATTTTTTTGTCTACCTGAAGACAATTTATTCTTTTGTTTTATCTTACAAGAGTGCATGATATGCCTGTCTTGTGCATATTGAAATTTTTGCTAAAGTAAAATGGAACATTAAGAGGGCATCTAACAGGGAGTTCATAAAATAGCTCTGTAGAAAAACTACCATGAGGATATACTTCAGTATAATTATCCCCTTTAACTGGAACATTTATCCTTAAAAAAATTCAAATGCAAAACTCAGCCTACATTCACCAATTCCAACAACAGTGTAAAGTTTGTGGTAATTTGATCCAAGCATACTACAGCTAGTGTGTGACATGTAAACAATTGCCTTTAATCTGACGGTTAAAGTCAATGTCCATGTAATGACAAATCCTTAAATTTTCAAAGTCAAAAGGTTTCTTATATACACTAATTCCAACAATTGTATAAAGTTTCCATTAAATCAATCCAAGTAATGAAGTAAACTATTTTTAGTGTGCAACATTTGAACATTTTTACTTAAATCTGGATGTGGTAGGCCTGTTTATGTGTGTTTTGTGAACAGACAGATGTGCGAAACAGACGTGACAGACAGATGGACAATGGTTATACAATAATATGTCCTGTAGATGATGGACATATAATAAAGTACAAACCTGATGTGAACTTCTTGGTGGAGGTGCATTTGGTGCCGTGACCTTTGTCCATTCATTCTTCTTGATGTTATAGAAAAGTAGGTCATTGTACATATACATCTAAAATTAAAGGGAACAATAGAAATGATAAACCTCACTTAAAACTAGAGGCTCTAAGGAGCCTGTGTCCCTCACCTAGGTCTATAAGCATCTTCAACAATGGAATCTCTCCGACATTGTTAGATTAGAATAGAATTCATGACAAAAATTTTTTTTTTTTGTTGATCTTGTCTTGCTGATAATTTTTTCTGTTTACAGTTTCTCTCTATTTTCTTTAGTTTTGCCAAAACACAAAAAACAGTAAAAAAATATCAATTTAGGCAATCACTCCTATAAAGACTAACCCAACGATTTCGGCAAAGTTTTCCTTATTTGTAGATCTTGTCTTGCTTTTCACTTTTGCTATTTAAAGTGTCTATCTATCTTTTATAGTTTTCATGATAGTAGGCAAAAACGTAAAAATTTGTCATTAAACAGCAACTAATCCTTCAAGCAGTTGACTGATGATTTCAGCTATATGACTTATTTGTAGATCGTCATGCTGATCATAAGGTCTACTATATTTGATGTATGGAATGATTGAAAGGTGTACATATCCAACTGGCAGGTGTCATCTGACCTTGACCTCATTTTCATGGTTCAGTGGTTAAAGTTAAGTTTTTGTGTTTTGGTCTTTTTTTCTAATATTATATGCAATAGGTCAACTATATTTGAGTATGGAATGATTGTAAGGTGTACATGTATTTCTGGTTTGGTTTATCTGACCTTGACCTCATTTTCTTGGATCTGGTTAAGTTTATGTGATATTTGTAGTAAAGCTTTATATTTAGGACTATCAACATAAATCAATGGTCAGTAAAGCAGGCGAGACCAGGGCTTCCAAAATTTCCTGACGACAGCCAGACATTTTTCAAAGAAATATTTTTGACGGTCAATGATCATCTGGATACTTAAATGTAAGTGAGAGGATGCATAAATTGATATATGTGTCTAAATTATTAGTAGTGTTATATGCAATAAAATTATTTATAACTGTTTTGTTTTCTTCATTCTAAAAATAAATAAAATATTATCCTCGGTATTGTGTCATTTTTCTGTGTATCGTAATACAGTAACCATCATTGCATCAATCAGCTTCAGTACCTGACTGTTCTCATGTTTTTGTTTCTGTTAATATAATCTATCTTCTCTCTGTGAGTACTTAACACTTTGTAAATTAAGGCCATCTTATTTGAAACTGTTGATGTTGGCTTTAATTGCAGTACAACTTGATCATCAATACACGTGATACTTTTCTTTTTGTGTATTGATTACCTGACCACGTGACTTTTACAACTGATGCGGTATTTATAGATAACATTGAGGAGGCCCAATGAAGGATATTGTTTTAAACCGTGTAAAATCTACTGAACAGTGATAACATTTTTCTTTGTACAATTTCCCAACCTGATTTGGAAAATAAGGAATAAATAAAAACATACTCAGTTGATAAATAATTTAATGAATAACAACATGATATTTTATGTAAGCATATAACAACGTTTGCCCATGATGGCAGATTTGTAAAGTTCAATTTGAGACAAAGTCTTTATAACAGTCGGAGATTGTCATGATTGGATATTAGTCTTTATGATTTTAATTATAAAAACAGTTTTTAATATGAAAAACAAGAATAGAGAACGCCCCCCTTATTTATTGGACAACTCAGCTTGGTATACCCATGGAAGTATTATATTGACAGGAGTCAATATAATACTTCCATGGTATACCCAAGCGAAGCTATTCTCTGTGTTTTTCCTATATATTTTAGTAAATTTTCCCCTTGAGAGTACCCCAGTATTTAACACGATGTACAGTGTTAAATAAAATAATATATATCATACTTATTCATTTATAAATATCCTTATTTGAAGAATAACTTTTAAATATCAGGATACTTTTTTAAACTGAATGCTCATTTAAAATAATATCTATAAAGCGTAATTAAATAGGATGTTGTTCCATACACGCTTACATGTTTGACCTCGTTTACCTGATTACCTTTATGTACATTGTTATGCATCATTAATTCTATTGATAAACACAAGCTAAGGACACCTCATCAAAGGTAACAAACCTGTAATCAGTGAATGATTTATGGCTTCAATATAACTTATTGAAGGGATAATTGTTTGACAGCTTGTTGTTATTTAAATAAAAGAAAACGTGTTTTTTCTACTTTTTATTGATGTACACAAGCTAAAGACCAAGCCGTACATTTATGTACCCAGAGGATTAGACTAACTGAGACACTTCAAAGTATCTGAAATATGCTGCTTCTGTTTTATTAAACCCAATTATGACCGAAATATATTTGTGAAATAGATTGCCACAATTATAAACTAAAATGCCCAAACAGACATGCCCAAAGCCCCAAACGGACATTTTTATCGATCGATATTTTGGTAAAAATTGAAATGACCGTTTCATGAAAATGCCTTGAATGACAAAATGTGGCACACCAATTCTATTTGACCGTTTGAGGCTGAGAGCAGCCGGTCTTTTTATGAAAGTTTCGGTCAAGTCCGGAATATATGACCGTTTTGGAAGCCCTGGGCGAGACATTTCAGCGTATGCACTCTTGTTCACATATTAAACAAAAACACAACTTTTTTTTTTTAAAATCGTCATAAAAGGGCAATAACTCAAATAAGGAGTCGTCTGATGATTTCGTCCATGTGGCCTTATTTGTAGATCTTGTCTTGTTGATCATTTTTCGAATATAAAGTTTCTCCTTATCTATCATAGTTTTTCAGAAATTAGGCAAACATGAAAAAAATCGGTAAAATTCATCATTTAAGGGCAATAACTCATATAAGAAGTCCTCTGACAGTTTTGAAATAAATAGACAATATGTAGATCTCATCATTTTGAACATTTTATTTTCGCCACTGAAAGATTTTCTCCATTCATAGTGATTTTCAAGATAATAGACCAAACTTGCATTTTACCCCTATGCTCTATTTTTAGCCATGTCGGCCATGTTGGTTGGCAGACGTGGTCATCAAGCACATTTTTTTGTTAAGTTAAATACCTACTCATTATGAGACTCCGGCAAATCGGATACCCAAAATGTCAGCAAAAAAATATCCCATTACCTGATATATTCAATTAGACGATAAAGGTATATTCATTGAATATTCTGCAATAATGAGTAGACCTAATCCTGAGATGTTACTAGCCCTGACCACTGCTATATATATGAAAGGGCTGGAGTGATTTTTATCAGAAACATCACCACGATGTTTGTGTAAAAAAATTATCAGCTGGTTATGTAATGCTCATATAAAAAAGAAGATGTGGTATGATTGCCATATATTTTTTTCAGTTTTTAAATCCTTTATTTATTAAAATGAATCAAATGTCCTGAAATATTTATGTGAAGAAAAATCTACCGTCCATACCATACCACAAAAACTAAATATTGTTCAATGAACCATGAAATTGAGGTCAAGTTCAGATGAAATCTGTCAGTCGGACATGTACCCCGTACAATCATTCCATACACCAAATTTAGTTGACTTACTGCTTATAATAAAGGAAAACTAAACATTTTTGTGGTTTGGTCTATTTCTCAGATACTATAAGCATGATAAGCAATAGGACCACTACAATTGATGTATGGAATGATTGTCAGGTGTACATGTCTGTCTGCCAGGTTTCATCTGACCTCGACCTCATTTTCATGGTTCATTGGACAATTTTTAGTTTTTGTTGTTTTGTTTATGTCGAGATATTATTAGCAATTAGTCAACTATATTTGGTGTATGGAATGATTTTAAGGTGTACATGTCTGTCTGGCAGGGTGTATATGACCTTGACCTCATTTTCATGGTTCATTGGTCAATTATAAATTTTGTGATTTTGTCAGTTTATCAGATACTATTAGCAATAAGTCAACTATATTTGATGTATGGAATGATTGTAAGGTGTACATGTCTGTCTGGCAGGGTTCATATGACCTTGACCTCATTTTCATTGTTCATTGGTCAATGTTAAGTTTATGTAATACTTCTGAGTTAAACCTTCATATTACAGACTTTCAACATAAATTCAATGATAAGTAAAACAGGCAAGACATTTCAGCATGTGCACTCTTGTTATCTATTGTCTCAGACTGGAGTTCCATGTACCGGAAGAATACTAAGGAATTTGCAAATTTATGTAAATAAAATCATTTTAATTTCAATATGTTGTGTTTTAGAGATTTTTTCACGATTGTGCAATTGGGACGAGGGGTCAAAATTGTGTAGTTCACGTCTAAATCCTGAAAGTTGGCAGGTATGCAGTTCTCTAACTAAAACCTTGCTTTCTGATATATTTTTAATATGGCAACCGTTCATAAATTCTATATACAAAAAAAACCCACTCGTATTGTAGAGACAGTCATTTCCATGGAGCCATGCAACATGTCACTCACCTTTGAACCAGTAAAAAATTCTCCTCCAAACATAATAAGTTCATCCTTGTCTGGATGGGCATTTAATGTTGTGTTTGACCTGTAAATACAGAATATGAAAATAAAAGGAATATCTACAGTAATATCAGCTAAATCATCAATGATATGTCCAAAAAATATCAAGTGGGAAATGGGTCAATATCCCTAATGCACCTCCAATTGAGGAACACAAAAAGTTGTGTGTAAACAAAAAATCTGTGTGTAGTGATATTGGACATGTTTCAATTTTTAACAAGTGACTGAGCTTAACCATTTGTGTTGATCTGGAAAGTAGAGGACCATAGAATAAATGTGTAAAAACTATGGAGTTATTAAATGTATTCAAAGTATTAAATTTTCAAAGAAATTATTGTGTGAAAAAAGGGATTTTTTACCATGAAGATTTATCACGAAAGGATTTTCGGGGTATGCTAATTTACGGAAAAATGAATCACACTTCGTACCCCGAAAATTTAATCACATATGTGAAAATGTCTCAGCTTCGAAACGAGCCATCATACATATCCAAGTTTACGATATGGACTGAGCTAGAAAAGAAAATGTTACCATTACCGCCTATGTAGAAACAATTGCGCATATTGCCCCAAATGTGTATGAAATTTTAGTCTCATTTGAAAATCTCATTTATAAACATATTAATGTTGCCTTCTTGTTTTTTGTAGATCCCACCATCTTGTACTTGAATGTTTTTATTTTTTTTAATCAATGATGTGATACACTAATCAGAATTTCTTATTTTCTTAATATAATTTGGAATTCATTTTCTTAAATACAACTATCTTCTGTCCATTTTCACTGGATATAGATACTTAAAGCAATTTGCTGTTAGTCAAAGTTCCCTCATCTCCAATATTGTGTTTTGCATCTATCAAATTATATTGCAAACTTTTAACTTCTATATAATGTATGGGACCAAATATTCAAAGTGTCTTGTCTTAAGATAATGTAATGTTTTTTTTTTTGTACTGCAATTTTCTAAAAAAAAAAAATCAAGGGCCATTTGGACTTGACTCAGGTTAGGCTGACATATTCTTATTCTTTAATTAATAAAAACAACAGTAATGTCACACCTGTCACTAGTACTTGTATTATATTGGTAATGTGTGTATCAACTTGGGTGATGAGAGATTACATTTCTCCTCAGTAACTTTATAATTACATTGTAGGTATAAATGTTTGAGTTACCTTGGTGATGGAGGAGGACATTTTTCTTCTATCACCTGTGTCCTTGACTTATCTTGTTCTTGAAATTCTGCTATTAATTTTTCTATGTCATCCTATAATATAATAAATATAAATAAAGTCGATAACTATGGTAATCACAAAATAATTTTTCATTTATCTCCTCCAAGGTTGATGGGTTATTATTTTGTCATTCCTTCCACCCAACAAAGGATGGATAGTTTGTCTGGAAAACTACTCCTACAGATTTCAACCAAAAACTTTCATATCATGCAGATTGTATCCATAAATACCAAGGGAGTGTTGTCTGTTTCATTCTCTTAAAATTTTCCACAAATGACAGGTTGTTGAATTTTTTTTATAATATAATGCATGTAGTGTAAAGGATTTGTATGGTTGACATCTCATTCAGTTTTCAAGCTAGTATGCAGACTGTTTTTACATATATCAAAGCTGGGCATTATATCTTTTGATTTTCTGCAAATTAAACTGTTCCAGGCTTTCAATTTAAATATCTAGCCATTAGGGTGCAAGGTGTTATCTTACAGATTGTAGGCAACATATCAAACTTCAGGGAATACTCAGATGTAAGGTGGTGTGTTCATATTTCTACAACATTTGATATTTTTGTTAACAGGTAAAAAATTTCTAGCTGGAGAAACATGATTTTTTGGCAATAGGAATAGATTAAATTTACCGGTAAATGAAGTTACAGCGAATCCAGCTCAAATTAACTTTTGAATGATCTTATAGATTCATAGTTGAAAAAAGTCACAAAAAGGGTTTAAAGAGCAATATTCTGGACATCTATGCATGTATATGCTATGGCCTTGTCAGTTTGTTTTCAACTTATTAGTTTGAGAATCCTTTTGGTATCTTCAATGATAGCCTCTCTTTTAGATGTAAAGCTTTGTTAAGGTTCATGTGAACAAAAAAATGTGCACTTTAAAATCCAGCAGGGATCATCTCCATGACCTGTTTTAAGATGGCGCACTGCCATCATTAAAATATCTTCCGCCATCGTCAAATGATCCCCACCATCGTTAAATTATCTTCTGCCATCATCAAATGATCCCCGCCATTGTCAAAAATGTGTTTTCGTTTCATTAGCTGCCGCCATTTTTTTATAATTAATTGCATGTACCGGGTAATTGTACAACCCTTATTGTATTATAATCCAAAGGGTCCTCCTGATTACAGTTTTAAAGCCCTGAGGGATAACAGCTGAAGATTGATAATCACTTGTACAGGTAGATCAACACACCCCTGACAGGATAACAAACACTTCATCAAGATAGACGATTGACTGCACTATTTAATTACGTTACAGCAAATGCTAATGAAAATTTGAATAAAAAAAAAAATTTTTAAATCCAGTTACAAACAATAAAGTTTAACAAGTCGAACACATGCCATTATATTGACTTACGCAATCAGCATCCCCCTTTTTAAACAAGTACAAAATAAGACGTAAAACAGTACATAATTTCATGCCAAAAAACACCAGTACAGCAATTATCGATAATATTGAATCCCTTTACAAGTTTAATAAAATGCTCCGCAGGGCGCAGCTTGATACAACCGCAGAGGTCGAACCCTGAACAGTTGGGGCAAGTATGGACACAACATTCAAGCTTGATACAGCTCTGAATTTGGATTGTGATTAAATATTTGACACAGCATAGGTTTCTGACACAGAATGAATGTGGTCTAAGAACTTAAAAATTTTAAATTGGACATTCACCTATTATGGTCCAATATCCAAAATCTAAATACATGGTTAGATTCAGAATATCAAAGAACCCCAAGAATTCAATTTTTGATGAAATCAAACAAAGTTTAATTTTGGACCCTTTTGACCTCAATGTGGACAAAGTTGATAACAGGGCCCAAAAATCAAAAATCTAAATACATGGTTAGATTCAGCATATTAAAGAACCCCATATATTCAATTTTTGTTGAAATCAAACAAAGTTTAATTTTGGACCCCGATTTGGACCAACTTGAAAACTGGGCCCATAATCAAAAATCTAAATACATGTTTAGATTCAGCATATCAAAGAACCCTAAGAATTCAATTTTTGTTAAAATCAAACTTAGTTTAATTTTGGACCCTTTGGACCTTAATGTAGACCAATATGAAAACGGAACCAAAAATTAAGAATCTAAATACACGGTTAGATTTGGCATATCAAAGAACCCCAATAATTCAATTTTTGATGAAATCAAACAAAGTTTAATTTTGGACCCTTTGGACCTCAATGTGGACCAATTTAAAAACGGGGCCCAAAATCCAAAAACTTAATACATGGTTAGATTCAGCATATTAAAGAACCCCAAAAATTCAAGAATAAAACCCCATTGAAAATGGTCAAGAAATAAGCAATTTATACGAAGCATCTTCTTTTGCACAATACTGTGCAATTGAATATTTCTTGCTATTGCGCAATACTGCACAATTGACAATTTCTTGCTATTGCGCAATTTTGTGCTATTGGATATTTCTTGCTATTGCGCAATACTGTGCAATTGAAGATTTCTTGCTATTGCGCAATACTGTGCAATTGAAGATTTCTTGCTATTGTGCAATACTGTGCAATTGAAAATTTCTTGCTATTGCATAATACTTATTATATAATAATTTACACAACCTGTTTGGTGTGTATCTCCTACCATATCATTATTATTTGCTTTTAAATATAAATCAGAAATAACCAACTTAAAATGGAAAATTTTAAAAGAAAAAAAAAGGAAAAAAAAAAAATCCCCCCCCCCCAAATTTTTTGAATGATTCATCACCCCCAAACTCAATCCCAGCCTTCCCTTTGTGGTATGGTACCTTGCAGTACAATTTCAGAGAGATCCATACACTTGAACACAAGTTATTGTCTGGAAACTAGAAAAATGCTTATTTTAGGCCCCATTTTGGCCCCTTATTTCTAAACGTTTCGGGCAATTACCCCCAAACTCAATTCCAGCTTTCCCTTTGTGATATGGAACCTTGTAGTACAATTTCAGAAAGATCCATACACTAACACACAAGTTATTGTCATGAAACTAGAAAAATGCTTGTTTTTTGCCCCTTTTTTGGCCCCTAATTTCATATATTTTGAGGCAATTACCCCCAAAATAAATCCCAGCATTCCCTTTGTGATATGAAACCTTGTGGTACAATGTCAGAGAGATCCATACACTAACACACAAGTTATGTCTGGAAGTTACAAAAATGCTTATTTTTGGCCCCTAATTCCTTAACTGTTGGTACCATAACCCCAAAATCAATCCCAACCATCCTTTTGTGGTATTGAATCTTATGGTAAAATTTCATAGAGATCCATTCACTTAAACTAAAGTTAGAGTGCGAAAACCAATGTGTCTTCGGACGACGCAGGACGACAACGACGACAACGTCATACCAATATATGACCGCAAAAATTTTTGCGGTCGTATAAAAATAAATACATGAATATTAATTATATATATATAACTGCAACTTGATAATCTGAAGAAATTTCGTATCGTTATTCCGAATTCATTTAGCAGTTTACAATCAAATTAGTACATCTGGTTTACATTCAGAATCGAAAGATGCATGTTGCATAGTCTATTACTATGAAATTTGCAATTTAAAGTCATTAAAACCATTGAAGTTGTAAACGTTTTACCTCCAAATCTTTATTCAATGTTTTACAAAACAGGTATGAAACTTCTTCTTGTTGATGCTGCAAATCGTCAATACCGGTTCATGACTTCCAAATTTGAGAAAAGATCCCACTGATTTTTAAGTCCTAAACAATTACCAAAATGGCAAGAAAACGACATAGGAACCTTAAGGACAGTTTGTGGTCATTCTTGACTAAGGGGAAGCCATGCAGGCTTGAGACTGGAATTGTTACAAATGACAATTAATGAAAATATTGGTTATTCTATAATGAAATAAATATAACAAGCAATATATCAGTCTATTCACCATTCCTTACATAGAAATGGAGGAATGAAATACTTTTGATTATGCCACACTGTAGACGTGGGGTTTTGTGATGGTGAAAATTCCTCCATTGTTAAATTTTCCTTCATGGAGATCCCTGATCCAGTTAAGTATTTAGTTTTCTAAAACATAAAATGCATTTGAATTTTATTTTATATCTAGGGCATGCTATGGCTTAAAACATTTCCAGATACTACGGACTTAGGTTTGTCTGTACATTTTGAGGTGAAAACACAGTCATTTTAACCAAAAGGTCCACATAAACCTTAAAAATATAACAGATATAGGAAGATGTGGTATGAGTGCCAATGAGACAACTCTCCATCCAAGTTACAATTTATAAAAGTAAACCATTATAGGTCAAGGTACGGCCTTCAATACGGAGCATTGGCTCACACCGAACAGCAAGCTATAAAGGGCCCCAAAAAATTACTAGTGTAAAACCATTCAAAAGGAAAAACCAACGGTCTACTCTATATAAAAACGAGAAACGAGAAACATGTATGAACTACATAAACAGACGACAACTACTGTAATCAGATTCCTGACTTAGGACAGGTGCAAACATTTGCAGGGGGATTAAACATGGTACCAAACCTTCTCCCTTTTCTGAAACAATAGTATAACATCACAACATAGAAAAACACACTATAAAATATCAATTGGAAGGCTTAACTCAATCAAAAAACGTAAATTAACACACAATGAACGAATAAATTTGACCTGTGACACCTGAATGCAAATACATAGTTTATAAAAAATTACAAGGGATAAATAATTAAAGTCAAAAGTAAATAAACAGGTTTAAACAAAGTTAAAGTATGATATCACTGTGAAATGTCAAACAATTTTTAGAAATTCATCACTTTTGAAGAAACCTGCGTCATATTATACACAGGTAAATGAAAATAATTTTGTTGTAAGTATACTTCTTCTTCTGTGTGTATAAAATCTTCCGTTTAGGAATACCAAGAAATTTCTTTAAATCAATAAAACTAATCTAACACTTGGTACATATGGGGTGAATATCAACAATAAAACTATACAATTAGTGCTAGATAAAACTTCCTGTACAGGTCCAAGAACAGCATCTAAGGAAAAATGAAATAATTTTGATGTTCATAGTACAAAGAAGTGAAAATTTGTAGTAATACCAAATAATCAAAGCTGGTATATAGACAAGATCCATGTTAACATTAAATAACAAAAAAGCATTACAAATAGTATCAACAGGTCAAATTAAAAAGAAAATACGATTTGGGAGCACTGGCAGTTACTGACAGCTAGTTAAAAGCCAAAACAATTAATAATAAAAAATCATGCATCAGAGACTAAAATCAACTAAAATACATCCCAGGGATTAAGTATTTTAACGTCATGAACAGTCAAAGAAGACATGACTTGTGCAATGCCAAAAATAAATGTATATATTATCTTATGATCATAAACAAGCTTCTGTCCAAGTTTGGTATAAATCCAGGATAGTTTAAGAAAGTTATTAAAATTTCAAAAACTTTAACCACAGAGTGAATATTTGTGGACGCCGCCGCCGCCGACGTCTGAATGTAGGATCGCTATGTCTTGCTTTTTCGACAAAAGTCGAAGGCTCGACAAAAATGAACGTGTGTGTGTCTCTATACATCCCGTTTGAAAAGAAAATACAAATTTAGTTATGTTTTAATTTGCTAATGACAAAATCGATATTAGTGCCAATGTAAACTATATTCAGAGATCTAATTACAACATTGGTACGATAACCCTTACTAATAAGTTTGCTTAAAGGTTCGATGAGTTTACACGGATCACATAATGATTTTCGCGCTTTAAGTTCAATATTAACATAAAATTTAGGATGTGAAATACCATTTTTAATAAGTTTTCTACAGGTACAGCCAAATTTACTAATCAAATCTTTGTATCTATGAAAGAATTTAGTAAAAGTTTTAAGTAATTTATGGTAACGAAATCCCTGACTTAATAATTTACCAGTGATGCATTGATTACGTTCGTTAAAATCTATGACATCACTACACACATGGGCATACCAAACGAGTTGGGATATATAAACACTGTATGATGGAGCCAAAGGCACATCGCCGTCTAAAAAAGAAAATTTAACAATAGGGAATGAAAAATTGTCTCTTTTGTCGTAAATTTTAGTATGGAGTTTCCCTTTAGAAATTGAAATGTCTAAATCTAGAAATGGACAACAGCTGCTGTTTATGTTAGATTTAGTTAAAGTAAGTTCTTTTGGGTAAATTTTGGTAGTATATTTAGAGAACTCTGGATTATTTAACGAAAAAATATCATCCAGATAACGGTAGGTATTGTTGAATGTATCAACCAAATGTAACAATGATGTGTCTCTACTGAGTCTGGTCATAAACTGAGATTCATAGCAATACAGGAATAAATCTGCTATTAAAGGGGCGCAGTTAGTGCCCATAGGAATACCTACTACCTGACGATACACTTTATCGCCGAAACATACATACATGTTGTCCAGGAGAAAATTTAAAGCTTCAATCACATCCTCACATTTCTAGTAAGTGTATCTAGCATACTTTCCTTTATCGTCACAGAAAAAGGCTTTAAACGAGTTACAGCAAATAAATTTACAATGAGATTTTTTCGAAAGACCATTTTATTAAATATGAAATTTTTTTCTTTATTAGATTGTGTGGAAGTGTAGTGTAGAGAGTAGAAAAATCATAACTGTCAACAGAACCATCAAAAGCATGTATTCTATCTAAAACCTCAAAAGAATTTTTTCATTGTTACATTGCAAATTTGGATGACATCTAATATGAGAGTCTGGTTAGGGGGTCCCTGATTTTTTATTATTTATATTTTTTAGATCATTTTTCGCTATTCTTTATTTGATATGATGAATAGACACAGAATGAAAACTGTCCACTTAAACCATAAAGGGGTAGTACATATGATTTATTTGTCTATATTTGATTTATTCAAGTTTATCAAGCAAAGGATCTTTGTGTTATTGATAAATGTAATCCCTGAAATCATTTCAGGGAATTTGTAAAATACTTCTTAAAATTTTCAGTGATTATGTAAAATCACTGGTCATTTTCAGAGTTATACATAATCACTAATGATTCTACAAATTCACTGTAACATATATACCTTGATGAGTTCTCATTGGTGACATGTAATTGCTTCTGACTTCTTGTGCTGCATTTTGTGAAAATTAAGGTATAATCCACTAATTGATGGATATTTATGACTGGTTTCCTAAGCCTGCATCAGTTCAAACTTAAAGGGTTGTTAAGTTGAAATGGACAGATCAGCAGGAGACTACTGACATACCTATCAACTGACCTGGATCCTGCGGGTGTGACCCAAGATTTTCACAATTCTGAGGGGTCACCCGGAACATCCGCCGGGTGACCAAATAACCGGGGAATTCGGAAAACAACCCGTTTTCACCCAGATTCCTAAGCCTTCAGACTGATTAGATATAAACTGATATCTTTAAAATACCGGCAAATTCGTAATTCTTCCTGGACAAGAAGTTCAACTAGCTGTGTAAACTCAGCTCAAGTGACCCATTTCAGTGCATGGCTTCACTTGGTAGCTTTGGTGTCAAACACACTGTTAATTAACACCAATTACCTTAGCTTTAGGTCGTAAATAATTTGTGTATTTCAAAGTTGTTTTAAAAACAATTTGAGTTACTTCCCCTTTTTGTCAATTTACAATATAATCCTTGAACTTATGTTTTTTTTGTAGAAAGATTAAATCTAAAATGAATTGAATGCAAAAACATATCAGAATAATACTTTCTTATTGTTCTACCTTAGAACAATTAAAAAATAAAAATTTTGAAAATTACTTTTTTCATCTATACCTCCTTTAATTGTTTAACTTTATTTTATTATATTCTAATATCAACCACTGTTTTACAGCCATTCAAGGTTGTTAAACACTTCCAGTAGTAGATATATTCTACTGTATAACAGCTGCACAAATATATGCAAAGAAAACAAATAGTGGAACATTGAATGTCATGGACTGAATAAAATCAGGAATAAAGGCAATGTAACACAAATCTATCAATGGCCTCCAAGTGCAAAGAAATAATAAAATGTACAATTTTAAATTACTTAAACATGTGGACATGTGTTGGACACTTTGATATAAATTATAAGAAAAATGTCCCCTAAATACTGAAATTCAGCTCGAAAAAGTGTATACGCGTTATGACCTGAGATTTCATTCTTCTATGCAGGTCATCACCTGCATTTTCATTGTCATAGGTTGACAGGTATGTACTGAACAAAAATAAGATTTAATAAATGAAAACTCAGAATTTGTAAGTAGGAAAAGGAAGGTCATTGTAGTTTTTGCTTTTCTCTAACAAAATGCAGCAAGAAGTGTCAGAATCAATTATATGTCATCATGTTGTTTATACCAGAATTGAGTATAATAATCAATAATTAAAATAATCAGTATATTGATGGTGGCCGCAAAATGGTAGAAATCCACCAATATAAATTTGGCAAATAACTGGTTATTCGGATATTCTTGTATAAGTAGGGAAAACATTTAGACGTACTTCGCCCTTAGATGCAAGTTCTTTCTTAGCACGTTTTGCAGCATTCTTCTCTGTTTTTAAATCTGTCTTTTCTTTTCCCTTTCCTTGCTTGTCTTTTTTGTTTTTCTTTCCCATTCTGTCAGAACACACGTGTTCTAAATATAAACAATCTATGCAAACATGTTGTTACGATAGACGGTATAAAACGTACTAACATAAAACGCATTGCTGATTGGAAATTGATTGATGCACTCCACACAAAAGTATTCAACGAGGCTTAGGCGAAACGTTATCATGATCAGCTGGGACTAATTAATGATGAACCTATTATCTGTTGGTCCCAGATTTCAGTTAAGAGTCTTACGTCCCAGCTCGTTAAAACGATAGACGGACAAGTAGATCAGTCGATATTCCTTAAAATCCGTTCTTTCACACAACTTTTCAATTTTGAAACTGACTTGGACTAAAAAATGAAAGAATTAGAAACTTCTGACTAGAACAAAACATATAGTAGTAATCAACCATTATTTGATTTTCAGTGTCCGGGGCTACTTAAATATCTAAACTACTTCAAACTATTCTGTAAACTATGTCACAAAGATGAATTGTTATGGATTAATCAGATGTAACTTTTCCGTTTATAAAGGAAAGTACGGTAAACAATTGAATCTGTATGAATAAAAGTATGTAAGTTGATCAATTCAACTTAAAAATCAGTGCCATATTGATCTGTAATTAACCATATGTCACAACAAGGACGTATAACTAACATACGTCCTTGGTCACAATTATCAGTGGTTCACCTGAGAAAATAAACAAAACTTTGAATTGTTTGAAATATTAAGGAGTTTCTACACCAGGAATAGATAACCTTATCTGTATTGTATTTGGCAAACACCTTTTTTGGGCCCTCAATGGTCTTCAACATCGTACTTTATTTGGCCTTTTAACTTTGATTTGAGCGTAACTGATGAGTCTTTTAAGACTAAACGCGCGCCTGGTGTACAGAATTAGAAGTTATGAACGGATTTTTTTGGGGTATAACTTTAACTTGTTCAGTGGCGGATCCAGAACTTTTCATAAGGGGGGCCCACTGACTGACCTAAGGGGGGGCCCGCTACAGTCATGCTTCAGTGATTCCCTATATAATCAAACAAATTTTTCCCACGAAAGGGGGGGGGGGCGGCCCCCAAGGCCCCCCCCCTCCCCCTGGATCCGCCTATGCTTGTTAATTACCTGGTCTAAACAAAATTTTAAAAATGCAGCAAAACAAATATGAAGAATAGTCTGGCACTGTCCCAGGCTAGGAGAGGGTTGAAGGCTCACAAACATGTTATACCTCGCAACTTTCTTTATTTACCTGTCTAAAGTCAGGAATCTGTTATTCAGTGGTTGTCGTTCGTTCATGGCTGTCATATTTGTTTTTTCGTAAATCATATGGCTATAAATCAGGCCTTCAGTTGTTCCATTTGAATTGTTTCACATTATGTCATGTGGACTCGGGGCCTTATATAGCTAACAATATACAGTACGGGGTTTGCTCATTGTTGAAGGCCGTATGGTGACCTTCGATTGCTTTTATCCACGTCATTTTAACATTGGTAGATATTTGTCTCATTGACAATCATACCACATCTCTTTCCAGATAACATCACTGATATTCAAATTACCTCATATATTCCTTTGCCCCGGATTTCAACAACGGCCACCATGCAGATATTATAGGGTTATTTCATTAATATTGAGGAATATTGTCCTTTTTTAGATTCGGCAAAGAGCTCACCAGAGCTTATGGTTTATGTGTTTTATAATATGCCGAAATATAAAACAAAGTGTTCTATGTCTATGTTTCAGTATTAGCATATCAAATTCCACGATCTTGTGAGTATTGCAATACATGGTATATTGCAAGGGACAATGTTCCTCAATATTAGTACAATATCACTTTAATAGTAAAGTGCCGAATATGTCATCAACATTGATCATTCTTCGTACAACTCTTGCATACAGCTCTCATTCCTATAGTAAGGACGCAATGTCCATCTCCATCATCTTGTTTATCTCTCATTTGACGTTTGTTGAGACACCCCATTGCACTGTGTTTTACGCCCTGGGCCATTCGACCAACTAGGCTATATAAAGCTATAGATTTCTTTAATCGTATGATAGCTTCCAATGAGATATTGTATACCTTTGCAGTTCATTTTTTTCTCTTCAATATGTCGAATAAAGGATGATGTCCATGCATTGTCCGGGTTTGGCAATACTTTTTTCACCTACTTGATTAATCAGCTCTTCAACTGGTCTGTAAAGGTTTTGGTCAGTTTCAAATATTTTGGAGTCAAGCATAACGTAGAGAGACATTAACTGTGGAAATGCGCATCTCCATAAGGCAGTAAAATGGGCACCGTTTAATTTGAATACTCAGTGGCATAAAGTAAAACATATATACAAAACCACGTCAAGCAAATTCATGAACTAGCGTCTGCAGAATGTGATCATATGCACATATGATGTCAAACTCAGTTGGCAAGAAGTTCTTTTTTGTTTAGCGCTAAATAGTCTTAAATAATATATTTTTTTTGAATTATTATCACTGATAGAAAGTCAAGATTCTCAAGAAACCAACATACATGACTTTTTATATTTGTTTCAATTTGATGTTGCATTATATGCTATACTGATCATATAGTTAGTCTAACATGCATAAAAGTAGGTGTAGGATAAACGTCATCAGAAACCTCCTCTGATGTAAATAACAAGGCAACCCAACGACACCAGTAGCCGACTATACGGTATGGAATTTTCTAATTGTTGAAGGCCGTACGGTTGCCTATAATTGCTTACATCCATTTCATTTGAACTTGGGTGGATAGTTGCCTCATTGGCAATCATACCACATCTCCTTATTTTTATAAAGTTGTGACTGAGTGCGAAAATATGCAGATATATATAGATACCAAATGTACAAGCTGCAATGTCACAATGTGATATTTTTTGTAAGTGATGTTATCATAGTGTATCTATAAAGCTGATATTTTGCTGCATAAAAAATTGCAATATCAATATCAGGAATATCTGATTATCTTGTTTATCGGGCTGAATTCATCTGGTTTTAAGAATCCAGGCTAGACAATGTTATTCCTTAAAACCACTGTATGCACGTTGGTACAAAGTATAAAATAATAAAACATTGTAAACAAAATAAATTGTGCACATGACAAGATAAGAATGTTACAATTACTATACAAGAGCATTTAGTTATTGTAATAGAAAACATACCAGATAGGCAAAGGCTAACTAGGAATACCTGCTAATGAACTAATTACCTTTATTTATTTAAATATATTTTTTTACTTATTTCTATAAGTTTTTTTGTAAAAAAAAAAAAAAAAAAATTTCGTTTACTCTTTTACAGTAAAATGTATCCAAAACTCTTTTCGTCAGTCATCTTAAGATCTACAATTCCAAAAAAAAAAAGAAATTCGTCGCCTATAATTCTTGGCATTGACATAAATTGCAATATCTTCTTTGTCTACCTAAACCTATCCATCTACAGTTTTAATTGGTAATCTATGATTACCAGTTCTAAATCTACAAAATATAACCCTATCTCTAGCTGGTAATATATCTAAATATTTTTCTAACACAAACTTATCCTTATATAATCTGTACGGTAAGCCTTTTGACGAATTATATATATCTGAATGCCAGTGTTGTTGAAATTGGTAAAAAACTTTTGTTTTAAACTAACATAATCAATACAATATATAGGCCGTTTTACAAGCTATATAATATAACTGGACAACATCAACGACTATGACGATGATAATAATGATAATTATGATTTGGTGTCGTCCAGTGACAAATATAAAATGCATATAAGAACGAAAACATGTACTTTCAGATCTGCACTTAGTGTCTTTTTTGTTGTAGGGATGTATAAAGACCCTGCCACGTCCGGTCTGTGTTTTTGTTACTTGTTTTTCTTCTTTGTATCGATCTGATGAGTTAAGCTCTTTTCAGCTGATTTTTATAATTTGTTCATATGTTGTACTGATACACCACTGTCCCAGGTTAGGGAAGGGTTGTGCGCCCGCTAACATGTTTAACCCCGCCACATTCTGTATGTGCCTGTCCCAAGTCAGGAGCCCGTAATTCAGTGGTTGTCGTTTGTTGCTGTGTATCATATTTGTATTTAGTTCATTGGTTTTACATAAAATCAGGCCGTTAGTTTTCTCGTTTGAATTTCGGTGCCTTGTATAGCTGACTATGCGGATGGGTGTTGCTCATTGTTGAAGGCCGTACTGTGACCTATAGTTGTTAACTTCCTAGTCAGTTAGTAACTGTTAGAGATTTGTTTCATTGGCAATTATACCACATCTTCTTATGAGCTCACCTGGCTCGAAGGGCCAAGTGAGTTTTCTCATCACTTGGCGTCCGTCGTCCGTCGTCCGTCGACCGTTGTCGTCGTCCGCCGTCGTTAACTTTTACAAAAATCTTCTCCTCTGAAACTACTGGGCCAAATTTAACCAAACTTTGCCACAATCATCATTGGGGAATCTAGTTTAAAAAATGTGTCCGATGACCCTGCCTGTCAACCAAGATGGCCGGCATGGCTAAAAATAGAAAATAGGGGTAAAATGCAAGTTTTGTCTATTATTTTGAAAACCGTTATAAATAGAAAAAATCTGACAGCAGCAGAAATGTTCAGAATGTTGAGCCCTCCCAATGTTCGTATAAGTCAAAAATGACAGACGACTTCTTATAGGAGTTATTGCCCTTAAATGACAAATTTTACCATTTTTTTTTTCATTTTTGCCTATTATCTTGAAAACTATAATAGATAGCGAGAAACTTAAAATACAAAAATGATCAGCAAGACAAGTTCTACAAATAAGACTACATGGTCGAAATCGACAGTCGACTCCTTATTAGAGTTGTTGCCCTTTGATGACGATTTTTACCAGTTTTTTTGCGTTTTTTTCTTATATATGTAAAACAATTATGATATATAGATAGAAACTTAAATAAGCAAAAATGATCAGCAAGACAAGATCTACAATTAAGACAAATGAAGGAAATCATCCGACGACTCCTTAATGGAGTTATTTCCATTTAATGACGATGGTAACTATTTTTTTTGCGTTTTGCCTTATATGTTAAATATTATAATAGATAAATAGACACTTAAAATCACAAAAATGATCAGCAAGGCAAGATCTACTAACAAGTCAAATTTTGCAGATATATAGTTCGTAGTTTGTCACTCTTTATATTCGAGTGATTGCCCTTAAATGAGGATTTGTTTTACCCTCTTTTGTGTTATGAGCAAAAACTAAAGAAGATAGAGGGACACTAAACAGACTAAATATCAGCATACAATATCAACAAAACAGAGATTTTTGTCATGAATTCTATACACGTATACAATATTGGAGAATGGCCTTTGTTGAATATGCACATAGACTAAGTTGAGTGACACAGGCTCTTTAGGGCCTCTAGTTTTTATAATGTTATATAAATGTATGGACCCTATCTTGTACATGGACGAAACGCTTAGCCGGATTTTCAACGTTCTAGTTTACAAGATAAATATGTCCACAGGAAGACTTGTCACCCTACCCAACCACATTTATTCTGACTCAGAGCCGACCTTCTCCGAAATTCTACGTGCATTGCGGAGAATCAGCAAAAACAATGTTGAGTATTTGGTTTTGATTCGTTTTTCTTTGTGGCTTCGTAAACGAACATTGTAGAATTAGTTTGGAAATTTTTTTTTATCTATAACAAGTCATAGATATGCACTATCTTTAACAAAGGACTACGGGTCAATTTCTATGTATTTATTTAAGGGTGCATGTACTTTTGGAAAACTAACCGAATCTTGTGATTTAAAGATTACAGTATTTAAGCTTCATAGATATGCGTTCTTTGAGGTTCCGACATCATTTAACCATTTAGAAATTTTATTCAGATTATTAATTTGCGTTACAAAACGCGTTGGAAGAAAATCACATGCACTTTCAAGCGAAATTGAAGTAAAGACAGATGTGGAAAAAACTAAAAATTCTTTATATATTAGCTGGGAACAGTATATCTAACATATATATGTTCCTGATATTAGATATATATATATATATATATATATATACGACTGTAAAATCTTTAAATATTTAAAAATAACAGGAGCCTGTAATTCAGTGGTTGTCGTTTGTTGCTGTATATCATAATTGTTTTTCGTTTATTGTTTTGTACACTTGCTATGCGATATGGGTTTTGCTCATTGTTGAAAGCCGTATGGTGACCTTTATTTGTTAGCTTCTACGTCATTTGGTCTTTGGTGGAGAGTTTTCTCATTGGCATTCACACCACATCCTCTTATTTTTATAAATAGATTATCGAATACTTGATAACATTTTCATTCTTAAATAGTTTTTAAGTGTTGATGAACATGTTAAAAATATCTCCTCACTTTATTTGCCGCTTCCAGTCCATACCGCCGCTTTTGTTAAAATGGCTTAAAACTGCAATTGCAAGATTCGTAAATTTTGAGCATCCATCTTAATATGAAAAGGAAATGCATTATAAAATTATTCGTAGTCCGTAGCTATCATTCATAAGTTACTATAAAACTAATCCAACATACACATTTGGGAATAATATATCTGGTACTTCTCGATTTTTACTAGTGTACATGATGTATACAGAATTTTAAGCTCTCTCAATACATAAAACCTTAATGGGGGGTGGGGGTCTCATTGGGGGTGTCTGATCACGGATCCCGTTTATTGTTTTGTCAAATTCCCGTATCCCACTTATCATTGATATATAATAACGTTTGTAATTTCACGTGTCCCGCCCGACTTCGTTTCCCGTTTTTACGCACAATAATTTGACTTTCTTTCTTTCACGAGTCACGCTTACAAAAAATCGACCATTCCAGCGTCGCATTTAGACCGCAATGAGACCCACTTAATGAATTTTCCCAAAATATGTCTATTTCAACAACTGAGTTTTTGAGGACATCGATCTTCTTATTGTCAACGGCCAGCGGAATTTTCATATATTAATATTGTCCGGGTGTGAAAATAAAGTCCAGCCTGAGACTACAATAACACAGTCAGCAAAATTGAAAGGAAGATATATTCAGTTAACAGAAACGATTACCTGTTAAAATATTTTACTATTTTTGGAACATTTATGAGATCAGGTAAGCTTCTAGTGTATTGGGGTTTTTGAAACGGAACCTTAGACATTGTCCACCAAAGGTAAAAGAAAGACCATATATACCAAAGTCTAGTACGGACAGAAGTGGAGTAAGCAACACGTTCCCAACGGAACCCACAAATGAAAACCCAGATCAAACAGCATATTTGTTTTTCGTTTATTGTTTTGTACATAAATCAGGCCGTTAGTTTTCACATTTGAACTAATTGATTTTACATTTGTCATTTTGGGTCCTGCTATAGCTTTCTTTGTCAGTGGCCGGGGGGGGGGGGGGGGGGGGGGGGGTCCGGGGGTTTGAACCCCTCTTTTTTTTTACCATGAATTTGAATGGAGACATATATTTGGAACACCCCCCCCCCCCCCGCCCTTTCTCCTTGGTTGGAACCCCCCTTTTAACCTTTTAAAAATTGCTGGCGGGATCCGCCCCTGTATGTGGTATGTCTGGTGGAGAGTTGTCTCATTGGCAATCATACAACATTTTCAAGGCTTATTTTTATTGACAGTGAAATGCTACAAAATTTGTAAAGAACCAACAAAATAAGCCAGAGAAGCCAATCAGTGTAACTCAACTGGAACAATTGGAACAAAGAAGAACCATGGCAGATGACACCCTCATGGACAAAGTAGTCCACCATCTAATAGCTATACCAGTACTCTATATCTCAACACCAGCTACACTTTGAAATTCCTGCCATACCACTACAGAATGAACTCATACCAACATTCATGTTTTCCCTAGAACAGTTACCATCTGGATGACTCTGTCAGAATCTGTTGTGCTCGCACCATTACTGGAGACCCTCAAGTCATCCCCCAGGGGCACCAACCAAAGAGAACCAACATCAACTAACGAGCTTGAGAACTTTTGTATATATATATATATATATATATATATATATAGTGTACATACATGTTATAGTTATAATCACCGGAGCTATCTTTTTTATTGGATTATTTGCGCACATCACCGTGACTTACTCACATGCACACAAGTCCTCGTTATTAGATTCCAGTATGGATTTTGACGAGAAACGAAGTTGAAGTTGAAGTTGAAGTCTTGATTGAAGACAGAGAATATATCAAATGTGGCTCTGTTGAAGGGGAAAAGCTATCTGTCAGGGGTGGATCCACCAGGACTTTTCAAAAGGGGGATTATTGAATGATATAGCGCCGCCGAGCAGAGCGTTTCGAACATTTTTTTGGACGATTTTATACTAAAAATGTATACATGTATTTATCTTTTTTGCGATCAAACATAAATAGGTATATATATACATATATATATAAAACAAGTCTAAATTGAAAACAACGTTCAACTTGACCTATGATTGCGTTGGATAAAAACCGCAATTTTTATACGTGTGCATGTAAAAAATTTCGTTGTAGAAGGGTCTAAATACAGCACAAACAACATTTTCCAAAAGACCAAAAGAGTGAAAAAATATATTTTAACAAAACGCATTTGACTAGAAGGTCGAACAACTGATGTTCTTAAACCCTGTAGACTGCCATTGGCGATTGCCAAATAAATTGATCACAAGGTGTAACAAAATGGATCTCTATATATATATGTATATTATAATCGCTTGTATCAGAGGCTTTTCTAATGTTCATTGAACACCAGTGAACTGTATATATGTGACTCTAAATAAAGTTTACTTACGTCACTTAAACTAATGTGGGAGTCGGGGGAAATCAAAGACAACATCTTTGAACAAAAAAACTAAATTGTGCAATACTGTTAACCCCCAAAAACCGTAATTAACTTTTTTGTTTTACAGTAGATTGGCCTAGCCATGGTCAGCCATGATTTTATTGGGGTTCCGGCATAAATAAGATTTATTTCAAGAATCAAGTCATTTTTTCTTCAATGTCAAGCAACAGATAAAATGGTTTTTTTTTATGTTAGCTATATATAAGTCCGTAAAAAGAGCTCTAGTAATGGACTTCTGGATTCGTTCCAAACTTTAAATAATTGAAAAAGAATGAAAGTAAAAGTAGCATTTCGTAGAATTGTTTAATATTTTACGAAAATGTGAATGAGTTAGAATGTGTGATTAAAATATTAAATACGCTTACAATTTTCTTAATAAAGATATTTAATGTAATTTTTTGGACGATTCACTGACTAATTACTAATATATTGAAACATTTGAGACAACACGATTTAATAACACAAAATTACATGTTGTACATCACGAGTCATTCCAATGCAATAAATTATGTTTCCTTTATTTTGCAATTCTTTGTGAAATATTTTGAATATACTATGCAACCTAAAGTATTTTTTTACAGAAAGAGAATTAAATGTATCGTTTTAATCAAATATATGTCATGGAAAAGAATGGATTTACCAAAACTTATTGGCTAACCTCAAGGATTCCCGGATGTAGGTCTAATCATGTCAATGGCGAATCTGTCTTCAGACAGATGAATATTTTAACTTTATAGCGATTCCCTGAACAGGAAAATTGTTCCACACATCACAATGGTGTGTAAGGAATTAGATGAACTCTGTGCCAAATTCGGAAGCCTTAGTCCCCACCTACGAATAGACTACATTTATGGAATGTTGCGAATGTGTCTGCCTCCGGAGTTGAGGTTTATAGGTTCTGTTGTCGAGGATCTGGCCAAAAAGGATTTTAATCACCTCAGGGAACATGAAAATAAAGCAAACAATCAGACCGAATTGAAGAAATATAGAAATGTTGACGAAAAAACGTTAATCGAAGGGATGGCATTTAATCTATCGCTTTTACATTCAGTGAACACTCCATGTGCAAACATTATTTTTAGCTTATTGGAGGAAAATTCTAAAAGTGCATTTCACATTTCTAATTCAACAGACAAGAAAACTATTGATATTATTTTATTGGTGCTAACAATGGCAAAGTATCACCCAGCTTTTACTTTTCACCAAAGAACTGTTTTTACAGAGTATTACAAGAAAGTAGAACAACAGTTGCACAACATCTATGCTAAGGTACATAATGATTTCAACATGTTTAGCCAAAAGGCATAATGGTTTCACTTCAGCCTCTCACCTTGAGTCCTCTGCTTTACTTTGTTCTCACATGACTCAAATGTTTCTGACATTTCTACACTTCATCTAAATTATATAATGTACACCTGTCAAACAAGCACACTACATACATTATATATATATAATGAAGCAGGCAAAATGTAGAAGGTGGGCAGGTCTTCAGTGTGAAAGTGTATTAGACCTTTCAGGGAAGGATCCAGGATTTTTGAAAAGGGGGTGGGCATAATTCCTGAAAATGGAATGTAAACTGCAGAAAGTAGCAAGGAGGAAAATTTTGGTCAATTTTACGCTAAAAAACTATATGTTTTCCAATGAAAGGGGAAGGATACGCCCTCTTCGTCCCACTCACTCCGCCACTGCCTTTTCTAAACCAAACATTTCAAGTTTTTTTTTACAGCAATTAACTAAGGTGGGGGTGGGGGTGGGTTTAGTTGTCAAATAAATTTTAGGTACAATTAGTTCCCTCAATTTAGAAACTGGTTTGTTTTGATTGGTCTTAGTTTGTTTATACTAAACTAAATACATTATAAACATGATAAAGTATCCTCAGAAAATACAGAAGAGTCCATCAAAAGCAATTTAATGTGGAGTGACACAAATGTAGCATGGTTTCCTCTAAATTTTCTAAGACCTATAATTGTGAATTAACCACATTTTATCAAACAGTACATGTACACACAATGTATATATTGTGCTAATTACAGTTGTCGCTTATATATAATTAAGGCTATAAGAGCACAATGTACATTTGTACATTGTACATTGTGGTTATACATGTACATTGAATACTACCATCTACATGTAGGGAAATAAATTTGCCATGAAACTTTTTAAACCCTAATCTACATCAGTGGTACATGTAGACTTTATACATTGTAGATGTATACATGTACATTGTACATGTTATATGTACACATAGCTGTATATTATGTTTTTATACATGGTTGGTTGTATTTTCAATATCCTGTTTGGATTTGGTTACCTGCTAGAGGAAGAACAATATATGAACCAGTTTGACATTGTTTAACATATACAGTAATTTACCGTAGAAAGGCTTGTATAGTTCGCACTGGTACATAGTCCGCACCCCCTTCTCCCCACGAAATTTTAGGTAAAAAAACTTTTTGTAACTGTTAGAAAAGGTCTAATGAAACTCCGGTAATTTCAAATCCTGTGCGGTCGTTTGCAGTATTTTCTTGGAAAAACCTGTTTTCCATCATCAAACAGAAGCTGAAACTGCTTGTAAATGATTCTAGAACGCTTCATGATTGTTAAAATAAGTTTAATTCACTTAAAAAACAATTTCGAAACTTGTGTATGTTTAAACAGGAAGTTTAAAAAGCATGTGTAAAAGAAGAAATTAACCGGTGAGAGTCGAAATTCGTACATAACAGATATCACTATAATACGACTTTGAAAGTAAAACAGTTCCATCCTTTTGTAAAACAGTCTTTAATATATCTATCACATTAATGTTTGAAGGGTCTTAAGCTAATACAAACCATATTAGTCAGTATGAAACACCAAAACGGAACGAACAATAACCGATTACGTTTTGTAGTTTACAAATTCTAAGCTGGTTTACGGTTGTCTTTTTGACTATGTTTGTATCGTTTCAATCAAACAGATACCAGTTTATTTCAACCAATGCATTGAAAAGAAACGAGAAATTTGTAATGAAAGGTTTAGTTTTTATATTTATCAGTATTAATTTGATATTGAATAGAAATAACTTATTAATATGGATGAGTTAAAATTATTAGTTTGAAAAATGATAAGAGCGCCCTCTACAATATAAATAACAAAGATGGCGGAACGTAAACAAACCACCTCGCCCGCGAAATTGAAATTTTTCTCTTATTTCTTGCTTATTGTACTCTATAGTCCGCACCCCGTCTGGAAGGTCCAATTTTGGAGAATAAAACCGCAGACTATAAAAGCCTTTCTACGGTAGTGCAACTGTTGAAAATACATTGAATTTTTTCCAATTCAAAAGTTTTTATTTTATCCCAATGAAAAATATTCAAAATGCAAGATATGAAAATGTACAAATACAATGTAGACACACCAGACAGGATAATACATTACTGAAGTTATGATGATTTTCAAGCTTAAGTGGTAGTTATGATTAATATTCAAATAATCTCAGGACATTAGTTCTCAACAAATTTTAAGGACAACAAAAATGTATAATGAATGCTAGGTGACTATAGGTGTACTCAACAGTATAGGAACTAGTGCCAGGAACAGATGGTCACAGGAGTTGAACAATCTCTTGATGGTTCAACCCAGGGAGTGGAACTCTTTAACTTTAAATGACTGACTTTAACAGAGCAGCTGAATTGTGGTCATCCATTACCAAGAAAAGTCTGGCTTGATATTGAAATTGTTATAGATAGCAAATAATGATAATATTGGTTATTCATGTTATTCTATAACCCATGATAACAAAACATCATAAACAATACATGTATGTCAGTCTATTCACTATTCCTAGCAAAATATGGAGAACAAATTTCAATCATGACGTGCAGGTTATTGTCCTGGTGAAAGTTCTTCCATTGTTAAATTTTTATCCATGCATACACTGTGTCGTATCCAAATATCAAGAATTGTTGATTTTTAGTGCGTAAGAGGGGGTACTTTTTGAGGTAAAAGGTTGAGACTTGTTTTCAGTTGTCAGAGGTCGATCCTTCCTTTATCATGTTTATAATCATGTCTGTCTGTTGACTCTAATATACTGTCCCACAGGTTGCAGTGGCTCAAAAATGTAAGTCAGGAACGTTTCAGTATAACTTACATGTACAATCATAAGATTTTTTGTAAAAAGAATCACAGATGTTTATTGGTTATTCTCCATAAAGTTTCTGTAGTAAACTTTATAAATATATGGATCAGAGTATTTTAAGGATTAAAAATTGGAATAGATTGTTTTTGATTGACATACATGTAATTTGAGTAAGATCTTATTTTATTTCCATTTGCTGCCACATGTTGGAGGTCTAGGTGGACAAATATCTTCATAAATCAACGAAATTAAACTTGTTATACTGACCCCTAGACTTCCCGCAGAGAAGGGGGCATTAAAATGTAAGTGTTACCCTTGTTTGTCTCTAACTTAAGTTTGCCTCAACCAAATGTTATGAAACTTATACACAATGCTTATTACCACAAAACACAGATCAAGTTCAAATTTGGGTGGCGTCACTTTTACAGTTCTCTAGTTGTGTGTCTTTATAACGTTACATGTAACGTCACACTATGTATGCAAGCTGGGGCAATGGCATCATTTGTGTCCCATGGACACATTCTCCATTTATTTATTTTTCAATTTTTATTTATTTTAGCCTTGTATTGTTCATCACTGATATCTACTCTAGTACAATGCAGTAAGGATCTCTATTCAGTATGTTTCCTTCTTTATGTTGGAATATTTATCATGTGTATATGGTAAAAATTTGATTAAATATTAGATACATGTAGATAAAGTCCTTCCTATCATTCAATTCAAATTTATGGAAATACATGTACATTGTACTTCATTCCCCATGCATCATGTGCATACATGCACAATGTAAGAATAAGTTCACTCACAGGCACTGGTAGATTGATTGATTGATTGTTGGTGTTTTAACACCACTTTTAAGCGCCACTTTTGGGCTATTTCGTGGCAGCCAGTTTTTATTGGTGGAGGAAGCCGGAGTGCCTAGAGAAAACCACTGACCTTCGATAGGAAAACTGACAATCTTAGTCAATTAAGATTGGAGTCGAGTGCACCCGCACGAGCAGGGTTCGAACTCACAACCTCAGTGTTGACTGGCTAGTGATTACAGTAGTAGAACTACTTAGACCACTTGGCCACCGAGGCCCCTAGCACTGGTAGAAAGTTATAACTAAATATCAGCAACTTATATCAAAATAACAATGAACCTGAATTCATGAAGTTGAGACAAATAGCCAACTGCAATTTTACACATCAATGCACCACAATGTTCTTTAATAAAAGTAAAATTCACATTTAAACAAGTCATGCATGCATGGATATCATATATATAATGGTCACTGGAAGAAATATATGTTTATAATAACCCTAACAACAACATATCCAAACAACCATGCAAACATAATTGAATGAAACAGGACCAAAAACTATTAAAAAAGCTCAAACAACAAGGCATCATAATATTCTTAAAAATGAAATCAGATTGGTCTATGACTATCAAAACTGAGTCCATGGCAAACAGAATTTAATTATTGAACATAATCAAAATAGTTCACTTAAAACATCTTGCAACATTCATAACACTACATGCATTTAAATAGTTATCTCTATAAACATGATAAATTACATTGTACAAATAGTGCATAGAGGTACAAAATAATCCTATTGTGAAGTTCATCATGTATGATTATCCATTACAAGAATTACATAATATGATCCAACTGAAAGTTTTAAGAGGAGCTCCATTAACCTGTTTTAAAGTATCTCATTTAAGTCATGTTTGTCTAACATGCTTTTGACATAAAATGTTGACATCTGGGAAAAGAATAGAAAAAAAAGATGTAATGTTTGTGACTTTTGCAGTTCCCTCAACAACTGATGCAAAAATACATCATAAAACAAACTGACATACATAATTGCTGTTAATATGTATGTATATATATATGTTGTATTTAATTTATTATACACCATTTTTATATCATTTGATCCTGTTTAGAAAGTGTGTCAGATAAAAAAGCTATTTTAAAATGATTCATTTGTATCAAATTAGATAATAAGTTGTGTTTCAAGATAAAAGATTTATAGGATAAATCATTCATACATGTAATCAAATGTATTGTAAAGTACAGGTTTGCACACATCCTTGAAAAATTGAAAAAAAAAATGGAATTAATTTCTGTTATTCAGGGCTTTGAAGTTTGATCATGAACTGCCTTGAAAATTGAGAAAATGGAGTTTATTCAAGAAAGAAAGTCTGGAATAATCAATTTCATATGTTTGGTACATGTAGCATGTTTTTGAAACTTGTGTTATTTTCTTATCACTTCCACGTAAATATAGAATTACTTGCTTTGAATTGTTGTAAAGTCATGATTTTTTTCATATTTGATCAAAACAGTAGGAACTTTTAAATTAATGACAATGATTAAAGTTTTAGAGGTTTGTACATAGTTGATTAGTTTCTAACTGTTCCCAACATAAAGTCTTACTGTCAAAAGTTACTTATCTCAATTCTTCATCTATGCTATTTGAAACCAGCTTTGAAAATAGATGATTGTCTTGGAGAAATCCTGAAAAAAACCTGGAATTTAGTTTTACCCTTGTCCGTCCGTACGTCCCAAAATTGGTTTCCATTCTCTAACTTTAGTTTGCCTCAACCAAATGTTATGAAACTTATACGCTATGCTTATTACCACAAAAGTTGAAAACACAAATCAAGTTTGAATTTTGGTGGTGTCACTTTTACTGTTCTAGAGTTATGCCCCTTTACAAATGGAAAAATTGCTGAAATATTCGTTTACGTTTTCTAACTTAAGTTTGCCTCAACTAAATGTTATGAAACGTATACACAATGCTTATTACCTCAAAACTAAGATCAAGTACAACTTTTGGTAGCGTCACTTTTGCAGTTCTTGAGTTTTGTTATTTATAACGTTATATGCAAGCGGGGGCATCATCTGTGTCCCATGGACACATTCCCCATTTATTTATTACAATAAAAGGTGGGAGGTCAGGGTATTCTCTTATATAGAGCCAGTAGATATAAAAGTAAGAAGATGTTGTATGATTGCCAATGAGACAAGAACCCACCAGAGACAAAATAGTTTTATGAGTTCCCTATTTATGTTCATACATGTAGCGGACAGTGAAGTAAAGTGGCGGGGTTTATTCCTCATGATTAAGTTCAGAATTAAAGTCTTTCTGTCTTTACTTTTATGTATCTATTATCAGGGTTTAAATTTCTATGCCCCAAATTAAGTTTTAACCTTGTCCGTCTGTACCTCTGTTCGTCCCAAAATTAGTTCCCGTTCTCTAACATAAGTTTGCCTCAACCAAATGTTATAAAACTTATACACAATGCGTATTACCACCAAACACAGATCAAGTTTTAATTTGAGTGGCATCACTTTCACCATTCTCATGTGATGTCCCTTTATAAATGGGAAAATTGGCAAATTTGCCGTTTCCGCAATCCAACTTTATTTTGCCTAAAATCAAGTGTAATGAAACTTACATAATGCTTATTACCACCAAACTCAGATCAAGTTTGAATTAGCGTGGCGTCACTTTCACCATTCTTGAGTTATATCTCTTTGTAAATTGACAATTTGCAGAATTTGCCGTATACATGTATTTACAAGATGGGCATCTGTGTCCCATGGACACATTCTTCATTTATTTCTACTTATTTATATAGATTTCTTGACATAATGTATACCTGCTCTAGTAGGGATGACAAAGGTTTTACTGATTGTCATCTGCCTGGTTTCTTTCAGAACATTTCCCTTTAAAGGCCTTTTAATTATTACTTTTTTTATCAGAACAATTTTTCGGAATTGAAAAATTGTTATATGAAAACAAACTGCTTTTTGATACATGAGGTAGCTGTAGCCATCCTTCTTAATATTTTTATTCAAAATGAATTTTGGAGAAAAGCTACGACTGTTGTCATGGTCATTATGGTGGATACATTTACATTTATGTACCTTTCCCATAATTTTATTATTCTGAATTTAATTAAAGGCATCAAATGAAAGTAGGATATTGGTGTTAAACTGCTTATGAGTACATGTACATTGTATTTGTTAATATTACAGCAGAGTTTAACGACATAAACTACCCATGAGTATCTGTACAGTATGTAGCAGTATTTGTTGTTTTGTTGTTATAGAAATACCTGAACGAAAAGTTCTCTTTTTTTCTTGAAATAGCAAATGCATTATGACAGAGAAGTTTCATTTCTGTAGCTATAGATTGATATGACATCTTTAGTGTAAATGTTTAAACTGCAAAGAATGTAAAAATATGCTTTCTCATTACTGACAAATTTATTGTAATGAGTTTGTAATACATTTGTGTACATGTAAGAAGCACTAATATATAAACTTAAGCTTAAAATAGGATTTTAGTCCTGTTAAAATAATTTGACTTCTGTTGTAGACAAATGACAATGATCGTCATTCACCAAACCCGACAGCCACTCAGTGCTATACATGTTCTGTTGCCAGCAAAGTACATAGTCCACCTAATCATCATAAAGGTAGGTATTTCAATACACAATTGCCAGAAAAAAATGTATTGATGTATACATACCAGAACATTTAATTTTGAAATGGAATTTTTTGGCTTATTAAGAAATGGGTACCCAGCCGTTTTTACACACAAAGTATCAACTGTAGTAGTCATAAAAGATGGTAGTTGATAAACACATTGTACTTGAGAATAATATCAACATGTTCATGATGGGAAATATATATAACTATGACAACATCAAAGAACTTGCTTCATTATAAATGTTGAAACTATTAGATACATTGTATATTTCCATTCTAAATAACGATGGAATTGAAGTAGAAATTTCCTGTATTTCCTAAAAACAAAAAAAAACAACACATTTTGATTCTGGTGTTATTTCCTGCATGACCAAGTTTAAACATAATAGTTCTATGCTTCATTGCACTTGTGGGAGAAATAATTGCATCCTTCATCAAAATAAAATATACATGCAATTGTAAGGCTGTCAAGAGGTAATTAAAGATATTTTCTAACACTGCTAAGATTCTGCTTTCAAAAGAATAATCTGAATTGTATTGTGATTGAAATCAAGTGGTGTATATTGCAAAGAATGGGCTATTGTCAATTACTATAAGTACCTCCACTTTAATTTGAGACACTTAGGAAAATAGATGACTCAATGGTAGAGTATATTGCTAAAAATAAACAGATGTCCTAGATACAGGCATTGATTGTTTTACATGATTAGCTGTAAAAGCTTCAGTTCATGGAGGCCTGTAAAAAGTTTAACATTGAAGAAAAGAATTTTTATACGATTTGCGGTCATATATATTGGTATCACGTCGTCGTCATCAGCATCCTCCAAAGACTTTTGGTTTCCGGACAATAACTTTAGTAAATGTCAATAGTAATCTATGAAATTTAAACACAAGGTTTATAACCACAAAAGGAAGGTTGGGATTGATTTTGGGGGTTATAACAGTTTAGGAATTAAGTGCCAAAAAGGGGCCCATATAAGCATTTTTCTAGTTTCCAGACAATAACTTGTGGAACGGTGTATGGATCTCTCTGAAATTATACCACAAGTTTCTATACCACAAGGGGATGGTTAGGATTGGCTTTGGGGGGTTGGGTACAATGTTATGTTTACTTTGCTTTTGAATTATGTATAAAGAAATGTTGTATTGTCTTGAGGTGATTAGCTGTCAATTTATTTTTAGAAGTTACTATTTAAAAATGCTGATTAAGGAATATTAATTTTAGCCCTGATTTTGTATGTCATTTTTATACAACCGCAAAAAAATTTTGTGGTCGTATATTGGTATGACGTTGGCGTCGTCGTCGTCCGGTGTCGTTGTCTTCCGAAGACACTCGGTTTTCGCACTCTAGCTTTAGTTTAAGTGAATGGATCTCTATGAAATTTTACCATAAGGTTCAATACCACAAAAGGATGGTTGGGATTGATTTTGGGGGTTATGGTACCAACAGTTAAGGAATTAACTTGTATGTAAGTGTATGGATCTCTCTGACATTGTACCACAAGGTTCCATATCACAAAGGGAATGCTGGGATTGATTTTGGGGGTAATTGCCTCCAAATTTTAGGAATTAGGGCTAAAAAGGGGCAAAAAACAAGCATTTTTCTAGTTTCATGACAATAACTTGTGTGTAAGTGTATGGATCTCTCTGACATTGTACCACAAGGTTCCATATCACAAAGGGAATGCTATGATTGATTTTAGGGGTAATTGCCTCCAAATTTTAGGAATAAGGGGCCGAAAAGGGGCAAAAAACAAGCATTTTTCTAGTTTCATGACAATAACTTGTGTGTAAGTGTATGGATCTTTATGAAATTGTACAACAAGGTTTGATATCACAAAGGGAAAGCTGGAATTGAGTTTGGGGGTAATTGCCCAAAACGTTTAGGAAAAAGGGACCAAAAAGGGGCCAAAAATAAGCATTTTTCTAGTTTCCAGACAATAACTTGTGTTCAAGTGTATGGATCTCTCTGAAATTGTACTGCAAGGTACCATACCACAAAGGGAAGGCTGGGATTGAGTTTGGGGGGTGATGAATCATAAGGGGGTTCAAAAAATTTGGGGGGGATTTTTTTTTCCTTTTTTTTTCTTTTAAATTTTCCATTTTAAATTGGTTATTTCTGATTTATATATAAAAGCAAATAATAATGATATGGTTTGAATACTGTGGATTCATTATTATTCGTTGGATACTTATTTTCGTGGATTTTGTGGGAACAGGTCAACCACGAAATTAAATGTTCAACGAATAACAAATGTTCTATAGGCTTGTATGCAGACTTCTGCAAAACCACGAAATTAGATATCCACGAACATGTACGTTTTCCTTAATCCACGAAAATTGGTACCCACGAAAATAAATGAATCCACAGTAGGTAAATTAAAATTTTTTAAGTTCTTAGACCACATTCATTCTGTGTCAGAAACCTATGCTGTGTCAAATATTTAATTACAATCCAAATTCAGTGCTGTATCAAGCTTGAATGTTGTGTCCATACTTGCCCCAACTGTTCAGGGTTCGACCTCTGCAGTCGTATCAAGCTGCGCCCCAGCGGAGCATTTTATTGTAACTTCCAGACATAACTTGTGTGTTAGTGTATGGATCTCTTTGACATTGAACCACAAGGTTCCATATCACAAAGGGAATGCTGGGATTGATTTTGGGGGTAATTGCCTCCAAATTTTAGGAATTAGGGGCCAAAAAAGGAAAAAAAAACGTGTTTTTCTAGTTTCATGACAATAACTTGTGTGTAAGTGTAAGGATCTCTATGAAATTTTACCATAAGGTTCAATACCACAAAAGGAAGGTTGGGATTGATTTTGTGGGTTATGGTACCAACAGTTAAGGAATTAGGGGCCAAAAAGGGGCTAAAAATAAGCATTTTTGTAACTTCCAGACATAACTTGTGTGTTAGTGTATGGATCTCTTTGACATTGTACCACAAAGTTCCATATCACAAAGGGAATGGTGGGATTGATTTTGGGGGTAATTGCCTAAAATTTTTAAGAATTAAGGGCCAAAAATGGGAAAAAAACAAGCATTTTTATATGGACAAATACTTTAGTACAAAACATAATTTAAAGCAGTGTAAGGGAGATAAATCAAATACATCATTTGAATTATCTCCCTTACACTGCTTTTAAGTTATGTATAAAGTAATGGTTAATGAACAATTAAGACAATTTAAAACAGTGTAAGGGAGGTAGTCCACATACAACGTTTTGATTACTTCCTTTACACTGCTTTTAAATTATGTTTAAAGAAATGCATATTTATAAAGGACACTGTGTATCATCGCCACCGGAAATTGGGTACTAACGAAGCGGAGAGAAATGGAAAAAAAAGTAAACAAGGTAAGAATTCATTCAATTTAAAGCATTTCTACTGATTTGACGACGGTACCCGCTTAAGAAATGATTTTCTGATATATAATTCTTTAAATTATTAAGCCGATAAGTACAAAATTAAGACAAGATTTTGTGTTATACTCAAGAACTTGCCACTTAGTACCTGAACATTTCGAGGTCGATCGTCCTCTGTCGCCCCATTGGCAAGATATTCAACTGTTTTTCATTATTTTTCCAGACACGTTTTTAGATTATTATAGTGTGGTATCATATTTACTGAAATTTGTTGTCAAAATGAACGTTTTTAAAGAATATAGACCATAAAAAATAAAGTCTAGGGTACGGCAACTTGCTCATGTTGACAAATTTACTGTATGGCAACTTTTCAACTGTATGGCAACTTGCTAATTTCAAAATATTTATTTGCCGTCTTTTTAAAGAAAATAAAGTATTAAGTTCAAATATCTAATTATGCATTTGATAAAAATACAATTCGCTTGACACCATTTAAGATGTATACACAATATAAGGCTTGAACACAGTCCTATTACATCTTTTACATACCTGATGTATACAATATGAATACGGCATATACAAAAGCTGGCAAATGTTGTAACTTTCGGAAAGGCATGTCACTGTTTTACTGACCTGTTGTTCTGCCCTGACGTAACGTTTATGTTACCCATGTCCGTCCGATCCGTCTCTCCCGTCCGTCCAGAAAGTCCCAATAATTGGTTTCCGTTCTCTAACTTTAGTATGCCTTAAACAAATGTTTTAAAACTTACACGAAATGCTTATCACCACAAAACACAGATCAAGTTATAAATTGGGTAGCGTCACTGTTACTGTTCTTGAGTTATGCCCTTTTATAAATGAAAAAAGCTAAAGCTGTCGTTTCTGTTCTCAAACTTTAGATTGCCTCAACCAAATGTTTTAACCATACAACATTAGTCAGCATTTGCATATAAGTGATGAACATTTCGGGGATGGGTTGTGGGTGGAGGGAAGGAAGGAGGTAATGGCAGGAGAATTTTTCCGCATTAAATATTTAGAACCATTAAGTGAATGAATTCTCTTTCAACTTTCAGATAAAATGAAATACGAATGAATGATCATTCTCTGCCAAAAAAAAATGTTGTATTGCTACACCACGGCACCATATTAAGGGAGGTTTGAGTGCTCACAAACATGTTTAAGTCCGCCTCAATATATATGTGTCTGTCCCTGGTCAGGAACATGTAATATAGCGGCTGTCGTAAGTTGCTGCCTGACATATTTGTTTATGATTTTTCATAAATCAGGCAATTTTGATACGGTATGGGTTTTGTTCATTGTGAAGTGTATAGTTGGTCAAATCTATTTCATTTGGACTTTGTTTGAAAGTCCTCTCAGTGAAAACCGTTCCATGTCTCCTTTTTCAATTAATGTTATTGTCTTATTTGTAAAAGGCAGATACAGCCAATATATTAGAATAAAGAACATTAATTTTCTAAAAAAAAACTTCATCTCTATATAGTAAGAAATGAACAAGCTCGGTGGCTAACACTGTTTAAATTAAAAAAAAATATTAACCTTAGATTAATCATTTTTGAAAAGAATGAAAGAAGAATCCGATACAAGGGATACAAATCCGGCTGTGG